ATCAGAATCTTTATTCACCAAGTACAGATAAGTACAAGCAATTTCTTTTGGTGCAAGTGGTGTCATGACTTAAAGCAAATTGAACATGCAGCTGATTATTGAACATAGCTAAAAATCTACATGTAAAAATACAAAGACAGTAAACAGAATAAAGCAATAGAACAAAGCAAAACGTATGAGCGCTTTTACATGTTCGGATGGTTCACGAGCGATGAATATCGGCGTACCCCACATACTACTCCGATTCGCACAGCGCGCACCGCAGAGAGCAAGCTGCTCCACGCGAAGATCACCTGGCGCGACTTCCTGCGCGCGCACGTCAGATCCTACGCGGCGGGGCGGCTGAGACCCGACAGCACACCTGGTGCTCGGCGGCGTCGGGCACCGAGAGACTCGGCGCACGAAAAGCTCCAACCGCGGCTATAAACCTCTGCTAATAAAGAGATGCGGCCGCCCCGATCGAAGAATTAACAGCAGTACGCGCGTTCGGCGATTTTTAATTCTATTTAGTACTTCTTCTTTTGGGTGTTTTATTACTTCCGGAAAGTAACTCTCAGGTAAGACGACTTACTTTGTTTTGTTAGAGCTCGAGGCTGGACTTTTCACGCATTTTTACGAACTTGAACGCATTTTTTTTTTATTAAACTTGAGTTATATATTCCAGTCCATTCACCTTTTTTATCGTTTCGACCACGTTTCGATTAAATATCTGCCTTGATGACATGTACCTTACATTTTCAATTTTTGTTAAGAGTCTGTATTTATATATTGGTGTCAGATTCCAAGTAAATTTACTTTTACAGTAAAAGTGAAATTCTCTGAGGTTGTGTTTCTGTTTAGTTCATGTTTGAAGCTGTGAGTTAATCCATAGCCGCCTTTATAAAGGAAGATGGCCTCGCGCTCTGTGCACGCAGCTGTCCTAACCTTGACGTTTTGGTGGCCGTTTAATATTTAATGGTTCAGAATTTAAGGGAATTAATAATTACACGATTCTCCAGAGACATTAAGTTAACCTTTTATGGCCCGGGAGGGGGAGATTTTCCCCCTGTCGTGTGGCTGGGTTCCTCAGGTAGTCCATGGGGGAGGGGGGGAGGGAGGGAGGGAGGGAGGGGGTGCGTCATGTTCCCGCCCCCATTCCCTGCTGCTGAAGCATATAGATACATAGATAGTGGTCTGCAGGCACTTGTTTATTTCACCAATCGTCTCCTTCTAACGAAAATGTCGTATTGTGTTTATATTCCGTCATTTTAAACACTAACGTAGAAACGCCATGAACCTTGACCGTATCTAAGTTGCCCTGTCAGTTCATGAAAGCATAATGACAGATGACTACTTAAAAGTTATATACAGCCTGTCAAACTCTTGTCGGGCTCTGTGTTACGCAGTTTTTTCTGTGGACTTGCTGCTTTTTGCGGGAAATATTGGATGCGCCGAGGTGAGGGCAGTGGCGGACTGTCAAGCGATCCCAGTCTGATATTTCGCCGCCGACCAGGGAGGGGGTGGTCCCCCTTGGGATATTTTGCAGATCGTTATCATATATATCATATTATACAGGCGGTTGGAACGAAAGTCCGGCCCACCGGGAAAATGGCCTAATTTCCGACGACCAGTCGGCGCCTGGGTGAGAGCATCCGGCCGCCAGCTCCCTACCAGGCGACGCCGTCCCGCACACGCGGGCTTCGCCATGGAACAGTGGCGGGATTATAGGGCCCCACGCTCTGTTTGTTTTAATCCGGGCGCGTTGTCGTAATGGAGATGGCTGTGCCTTGTGCAAGGCCCTCCCGGTCTGGCGGCTGTCCAGGGAGGCCGCGAAGGCTCACACCAGTCCGGGTGGGATGGGAGCGCACGCGGACAGGGGGAGGCGCGGTGGCACGAGCGAACCATGCAGGGAGGCAAGGTCAGGAGGCAGGGCTCTGACTGCGTGCTTTGTGTTGCCTTTGCTAAGCGGGCGCGGCACCCTGGCACGGAATCATACTATCTTCATATCACAAGGAAAGTTCTGATGTAAAAATAGGAAAGCAAACAGTACTAACATATTTAGAAAAATGCCCCATGGCTTCAGCCTGGGCACAAATAACATTTAATGTAAATGCGTCCTTCAGTTATTTACAGTAAAACCTACAGAATGCATTTCGCTGTTACTGCGAAGGTCATGGTTGAGTACTTAACCTCAGAAACCTCAGGCCAGCAGTGCAGTGAAACAAAACAGGTAACATGCTTTTATGTGCTAAAAGGTGTAGTGTATGTATTATCAAGAATAACCGTCAAGGGCATAGGATAGAGTTTGATAGTTCTGGTGGGGGACATAGCTTAATCATTCAAATCAAAGGTCTAAGTAATATGAGAGGGTGAAAGAAGCCAAATTAATTATTTGCGGGTACATGTGCTCCCGGTTCCTACACAGTATTTTTTGTTTTGCTGACTGTTTTCCTTCAAAGTGTACCGGTCAATGAAAATAGGTATAGAGAACAGCCCTGACTTATAAAGAAAAGCACTTTTAAACGTTTTCTGCAGCTTTACGTATGACACACAGTCAAACTATTATATGACAACTGTGTAAAGCACTGTAGATGCTTCGCATAGTTTAGAATATGATAAACTGTCTCTGTCCTTTGTTGTATGTGTGAAAAGTTTACTGTATATGCCATTCAATGACTATCTCAGCTCTGCTCAGAACCTGCTTTTGTTAACACAAGTGCCACAGGCAGGTAGCCTGTTTGGAGAAGTGATCCATTCACTCCAGTCAAACAGGCCCTTAGGATAGACAGAGGATCCCACATGGTTGTAATCTGAAAGCCTATCTAATCCTTACAATGGGCCAGCAGAGTGTAATGTTAGACACCAGTCTGTCTCCATCAGAAATTTCCCTTAGCTATATAATATATATATGAATTCTGGCCTTTTTTGTCTAACCTTTTTGTGGTATGGATCACACATAACAGTAAGTAATGTTTTTAAATGACCCCTCCTTAGCATAAAATGACTCCCATAATCTCTCTATGGGATTTATGTCTGAGATATTTAGGGAGTTTTTAAGAAATTTTAAGACATCCTGTAACTGAAGAGATTTAACATGGTTTTGAAGAGATTCAGGCATAAGCCTGATAACTATGTTCAACCTTTAGAATTAATGAAGTTGTGGAAGAATTTGTCATTTTTTCCCCCCTTATGGCTGAACTGTCAGTTCCTGTGCCTGAAATTGAAGCCAGTATCTAAACAGTTAATGAAACCACGAGCTGCATCCTGCATGTGTCTTGTGGGATTAACAGCGCAGGATCCCCTTTCTCCTCTCTCTTTCTGTTTTCTCCTCTCCCTTTCCATCTCCACCCATTTTCATTTTGTTTGTTCTCCTTTTTTTTTTTCTTTTTTTTTTTACCCCGTCTAATCTCTCTTCCCTGTTTCCCACCCTCCCTCGCATTAGCAGCGCTCCAGGTTTATCTGAGGGTAATTTAAAAAGCAGGCGGGTGGCTTTCTGCCCATTTAGATATGTGTTTTTTTTTTCTCTCCCAAAAAGTTGCAAAAGTGTGGATGTAACTGTCATCTAAAAATAGAAAAATGGCAGAAAAAAATCGTCTTGCTTTGAATTAAGATGTCAAGAATTCAAGGATTTTGTCATGTGCAAGGTACACAGTCAGACCTCGACCTGCAGTGAAATGCAAGATGGTCAGCTCCGTCATAATAAATATA